GGGGCAGGTCTCCTTTGCAAAACATCGTTCAGGCACCTAAAGGGTAAATGAAAGCTATCAAAATCCCGATCACACTCCTTCCTAAATGGATTTGTAATTGTGTTCATTGGAAGCAGATTGCAATATCAATAACCACAGTATAATGAACTGACTTGATAGTTAATTTTCATAGAGAACTTTGCAGTTTTTCCACTAAACCATGAATCATATTTATTTAAAGATCAATTTCCCCCCCACCTGGAATTCACAGGAAGAAGTGCACTCATTGAAGAGGCTCAATTACTCCCTCTAACTTCCCAGCACCAGTCTGGAGAAAACTCCGAGCGTCATACATCATTGCCTCTGAACTGCTGCTAATTTCTCAGAGTGTTTTAAAAACTCGTGTAAATGGTTATCTTTAAAGACGCATTAAATTAGAGGGAAAAAATGAATAATATCCTGGAGTTAGGACTCCATCATTTCAATCAGTGAGCATTTCCTTTTGCTTGTTAACTCTTCGATCACCATGACTCATAGTACCCAGTTCCCACATATAATGACTAGGTTCCATTCGCTTGCACAAGAAAATGTTTTGTCTCTGTTTTTTTCTGAGTATGGGTCCCATGTATTAAAATCTTACTAGGCACTAGGAACTTTGTACAGATTATCTCTTATAACAACCATAGAAAATAGATAATGTTATTCCCATTTAATAGATGGATAAATGAGGCTCAGAGACATTAAACAATTTGCCTACACTCATGCAATTCGCAAGAGTGGATGGAGAATTTCAAGCTAGGTTTCTCTAACCCACGGCCCAGACTCTTCCCCTACACCATCTCTCTAAAGAGGATTAAAGAAAAATATTCTGAAAACATAGCCAAGAATTGGGAAGAAAGCTCACACACCTCTACTAAATAGGTCAGCAGCAGCTACACCTTTGGATATGCTGTGTGTCAAATACATGGGAGTTCTCTAAAAAGCCCCAAGATGGATAACACAATTATGAATTTTCTCTGTCTCAGTGGTGTTGCCCCAAAATGAGAATATCCATGGCTCTCAATCCTGCTACATTTATGAGTTTTTACAAAATCAGTGACTCTCAGGTTTAGGCATCACCTGGTCCCACAATTCCTTCCTAGACAAGAAAGTCTAGGAAGGAACGTCTCCTCCCACAGGTCCTCCAGCCCCTGCGCCTGCACAGTTGGAGATAAGAACCCACTGACTCCCCGGGCAGCCCCTTCCATCTTTGCACAGCTCTGAGAGAAAACGCTTCCTCATTCTGAGCACAAATCTCATGTCTTGTGGCTTCCATTCATGGGTCTGCCTTCTGGGACTCAGAGTAATTTTAATCCATCTTTTACATGACAGCCTGTCTCATATTTGAAGGCATCTCTCGCATTCCCAACCTAACATCTAAGTCTCCCCCGGCTTTTTAAAATACAAATACAGCATGATTTTAAATCCCTTCATTGTGTAGTCACTCATCTCCAGTCTCCATTTTTACCCCTTGGTCAGAGCCTGGCCCATTGCAGTAGCTTCACGACTTCCTGCTTCGTTCTTAAACTCTTGTAGTCTAAACAAGCTCCCTCCAGAAGCTGGAATAGTTCTTTAAAATGTAAAAATGGTCAGGTCTCTCTCCCACTCATAATCCTCCAATCACTTCACGTTTAGAACAAAATTCAGACTCCTCACTCCACTGTGTTAGAGGTTCACTCTTTTGTTCTCAGAGTGTGATGGGCAGCTGACCTGAAACAATAAAACTTCAGCTTCGATGGACAATTTTGCAACCGCTCTGTATTTTATTCACATTTAGATAAATACTTGTCTAGCCTACGTCCAGAGCAGATTCAAGGTAAGTTTGGCTTGCATGATCAGAAATGGAAGCGGGTCCAAAAGTGAAAAACCTTCACCTCTGGCTCTGATGCTGGGAATGTTTTGTGAACTTTTCAACTCCTTTAGACCCCAGCTCTCCTGACACAGACTCTAGCTTTTCCATTACTTTGGACTTATATATGTAGCAAGTTTGTTTTTAATCTCATCAAAGAAGGACATTGCCCACTCATTTTAAATAAACCCAAAATAAGATAACTGCAAATATGAATGCAGCATGTCTTATGCTACAGCATCTAAACCAGGAGTTCTCAATCTAGAAGCCACAGGCCACTGAAATTATATATGAAATTCAGTGTGTGTGTGTGTCTATTTGTGTGTGAGAGAGAGAAAGTGGGGGGAGGAGGGAGAGCGAGAGAACACAATACACA